ATGGAGGAAGAGTGTGTGTGTGTGAGTGCGTGTGTGTGTGTGTGTGTGTGTGTGTGCGTATGTGTTCAACATGGAGGAAGAGTGTGTGTGTGAGTGCGTGTGTGTGTGTGTGTGTGTGTGTGTGTGTGCGTATGTGTTCAACTTGGAGGAAGAGTGTGTGTATGTGTGTGTGTGTGTGTGCTTTCAACATGGAGGAAGAGTGTGTGTGTGAGTGTGTGTGTGCGTATGTGTTCAACTTGGAGGAAGAGTGTGTGTGTGTGCTTTCAACATGGAGGAAGAGTGTGTGTGTGTGAGTGCGTGTGTGTGTGTGTGTGTGTGTGCGTATGTGTTCAACTTGGAGGAAGAGTGTGTGTATGTGTGTGTGTGCGCTTTCAACATGGAGGAAGAGTGTGTGTGTGAGTGTGTGTGTGCGTATGTGTTCAACTTGGAGGAAGAGTGTGTGTGTGAGTGCGTGCGTGTGTGTGTGTGTGTGTAAAACATGGAGGAAGAGTGTGTGTTTGTCTGTCACAACATGACGGAAATTATTTTTTATTAATTATTATTTTAAATATTTTCAGTGATTGCTTTGAATCATTATAAATCATTGATAAATTATGAATTATTATTATTATTATTAATGCTCTTTCATATTGTTTTACAATCACTTGTAATTTCCTCAATAAATGTCATTCTGTAATGAAATCTGTTAATCACATCAATTAATAATCAATCATGTTTATAGAGTTCACATGAATAGAGTTAATAGAGTTTATTAAAAGAGTTAATAGAGTTTATAGAGTTTATAATAGAGTTTATAGAGTTGACATGAATAGAGTAAATAGAGTTGAGCATGAATAGAGTTTATTAATAGAGTTTATAGAGTTGAGCATGAATAGAGTTAATAGAGTTAATAATAGAGTAAATAGAGTTGATCATGAATAGAGTTAATAGAGTTTATAGAGTTTATTAAAAGAGTTAATAGAGTGAATAGAGTTTATAGAGTTAATAGAGTTGATCATGAGTGTAATCTGACCTGTTCTCGACCCGAAGCTGAAGAACAGGAGTATGAACTGCAGTGCAGGAAGAACATCAAAGCTTATAAGAGCCAGAACACCGAATATAGCAGCCATCCGCTCGCTCAGCGTCACAGTTAATCTGAGCACCGCTGTGAAAGATAAACTACAGTTCATAACTCATACAACTGATGCAGAATTAATGCACTCTTCACACATTTATTATTGCCAACATGTTTCATAATGTCTTCATAATGCTTTGAATGTGTGTGTGATAGTGTGTGTGTGTGTGTTTGATACAGTAAAATGAGTTATTCATGTGTGTTTAAGAGTTTTCCAGTGTGATATTCATAAGTTTATAGTTTTGAAGAGGGAAATGATGAATGATTGTGAAGATTGTGAGTTAGTGAAGTGAGTTTACTCCATCTGCAATATCTCAACAAAAGCATAAACCATCATCATAAACATCCTCATTTTAAGACAAAATGAAACAATATTATTAGTTATTATAATGTTGAATTGAGTTGTGATTATTAATTTCATCAGTATTTTATCAGTATTTGATTCCATAAAAAATAAATATATGAATGATCAATAATAATCTAATCTGAGAGAAGTGGATCATGTGCTTTTATTGATATCGAATGTAAACTGAATAATTGCTTTATATGAATATGATAATCATAAACAACAACAAGCATCATCACCTTCATAACCAGAACATTGTGTAATGTGTGTGTGTGCAGTGAAATATGAATATAACGTGTGTGTGTGTGTGTGTTTCTCTATGAACGTCTGAACTGATGATGTCTGTATTTCAGATCTGACACTAGATATAATAATCCAGGATTGAATTATATGATTTATTTCCATGATTTATCGTGGTCTGGAAGCAGAGACGTGTGCTCAGGGTAGACACACACCAAAGGAAATGTTCACATTACATTTATTAATTTCAAGAGCTTTGATAATTCACCATATTATTAATTGCATTTATTTTATTCCAAATATACATTTTTGAAACAAAAAAAATTCAGGAATACTCATATTAATTTTGCCATAGTCTGTTCCTAAAAACCATAGTTTGATGCAGGAAATTCAAGGTCATGGTCATTGAGGCAGAGTTTCAGTGCACTGCTGCTTGAAAACAAAGATGGCGGCTGGCGAACTGCTGTGTTTTAACATCTAGACGTTGGTCTGGCATGAACACTCGCTCTCACTCGATCCGCGATTCGCTCTGCAGACCGCGATATGATGACGCCTGATATAAACTTGGGCTGCTACATTAACTGAATTAATATACAGTGGCTTATCTTTGTTTTGCCAGTGGGTGGGACAGGTGTGTGTGTGTGTGTGTGTGTGTGTGTGTGCGTGTGTGTGTGTGTGTGTGTGTGTGTGTGTGTGTGTGTGTGTGTGTGTGTGTGTGTGTCAGAGAATCAGAGAATCAGAAAATCAGAGACTCAGTGAATCAATGAATCAGAGAATCAGCGATTCATAGAATCAGTGAATCAGAGACTCAGTGAATCAATGAATCAGAGAATCAGTGATTCATAGAATCAGAGAATCAATGAATCAGAGAATCAGTGAATCAGACTGTTACGTCCTTAGGGACGGTTAGATTGTTTTCCTTCGAGGTTTGTGTTTTTCTTTTGTCTCTCTTCCTTACTTTCGCTTTCGCAGGTCGTCGCTGATTGGCTATAACACCTGTCAATCAGCGTAATGAGCGGGTTTGCCTGGGAGGCGGGATCTTCATCAGCCCGATGCGCGACACCTGGAGAAGTCCTACTTAAGACGCGTGCTAACCGCGGGAAGAGAGAGAGATTTTTGTGTTTGCTTTGAGAGACTTTGGTTTTGTTTTGAGATGTTTGTTTTTTTTGTTTTCTCTCCAGTTGATTTAGTTCTGTTAAGTGTTGCTTTATTTTGTCATGTTATGCTTACCTTTCGAGTTTTCCCTGAAACTTCACATTTGTGAGATTTTGAGTCTGTTAAGCAGCTTTGCAAGGCTGGATTAGTTGGGAAGGAGAAAAGGGAATAGGTAAGAATGTCACGTGACATACATTTTGCACACTTAGGTTTTCTGTGTGTCTATATTCACTAGGTTAGAGATTTGTGCCACCCCCTGTATTTTTTTGTTATTAGTTAGTGTAGTTTAGACACGGCGTCTAGGACGTTGAAGACTTTTTCTTTGTTCTTTTGTTTTAGTCTAGGTTTAGATTGGAGATGGTCTAGTTAGTATTGTTTATGTTACTTTCGTTTATTTGGCACAAATCCTGTTTTCCCTTTTTCCTTTTGCCCTTTTTCACATATTATGTTAACCAACTTATTTACTATTAAATTATTTTTCATTATATCTCTGAGTGTCTCTCGTGTTTTCTCAACATATTAAGTGCTCTAAAGAGAGGTTTCATTGAACCGGTTCTGTGTTCCCCTTCTAAAAATTCCCTAGATGGGAACGAGCCAAAGAAGGGTCGTAACACAGACAATTTAGAGACTCAGTGACTCAGAGAATCAGAGACTCAGTAAATCAGAGACTTAATGAATCAATGAATAAGCTAATCAGTGATTCATAGAATCAGAGAATTAGTGAATCAATGAATCAGAGAATCTGTGAATCAGAATCAGTGAATAAATGAATGAGAGAATCAGTGAATCAGAGATTCAGTGAATCAATGAATCAGAGAATCAGTGATTCATAGAATCAGAGAATCAATGAATCAGAGACTCAGTGAATCAGAGAATCAATGAATCAGAGACTCAGTGAATCAGAGACTCAGTGAATCAGAGACTCAGTGAATCAGTGAATCAGTGGATCAGAGAATCAGTGAATCAATGAATCAGAGAATCATAGACTCAGTGAATCAGAGACTCAGTGAATCAGAGACTCAGTGAATCAGAGAATCAGTGAATAAATGAATGAGAGCATCAGTGAATCAGAGAATCAGTGAATCAGTGGATCAGAGAATCAGTGAATCAATGAATCAGAGAATCAGTGATTCATAGAATCAGAGAATCAATGAATCAGAGACTCAGTGAATCAGAGAATCAGAGACTCAGTGAATCAGAGACTCAGTGAATTAGAGAATCAGAGACTCAGTGAATCAGAGACTCAATGAATCAATGAATCAGATAATCAGTGATTCATAGAATCAGAGAATCAGTGAATCAATGAATCAGAGAATCAGTGAATAAATAAATGAGAGAATCAGTGAATCAGAGAATCAGTGAATCAATGAATCAGAGAATCAGTGAATCAGTGAATAAATGAATGAGAGAATCAGTGAATCAGATAATCAGTGAATAAATGAATGAGAGAATCAGTGAATCAGAGAATCAGTGAATCAATGAATCAGAGAATCAGTGAATAAGAGAATTAGTGAATCAGTGAATCAGAGAATCAGTGAATCAGCGAATCAGTGAATCAGTGGATCGGAGAATCAGTGATTCCTATAATCAGTGAATCAGTGGATCAATATCAAGAGGGATCAAACGCCTCAGAAAACCCTTCAATAAGAGTGTGTGTGCAGAAGATAATAATGATGAAAGTGCTGAGAGTGTGTGTGAGGGAGAGCGATAACACACGCCAGAAACACACACAAGTCTGCATAATGACACTCATTAATGTTAATATACAGTGTGCTAATATGAATAATTGAGTATGCTGTGTATAGTTGGAGAATCTGTCCTGTTTTAAATCACTCGATGATCTGAGACTGAATAAACTCAAGACTTTACGAGCTGATTCACTCAGTTTACGTCCTTTAATCACAGGGACTTTCTCTTTTACTCATTTCATACATTTACAAATGTAAACTTTGATTTATTTTACTTTCTGTTTTTCTTCTATTCTTTCATCAGTTTCTCGTGTAAAACTCTGATATGTGTAATAAATGATATGGTAAAACTCTGATATGTGTAATGATATGGAATGAGCTGATAAATCAGGTGTGATGATGATTTGTGTATTCTGTAACCCTGACTCCAGTAATCTGGTAAATATGATTGACAGCTCATATTGTGACTGACTCATGATGGAAGGAAACACTTACAGTAGATAATATAGAGGAGGTTTAGCAGGAGTGCGATCACAAACAGGACTATAATCATGACTCCTTCAAATCCAGCGTAGTTCAGACTTTTGTCATACGCAGATTTAAACAACACTGGAATAAAGGAAGACAAACAACAATTACTGAAATAGAAAAGCAAAATATAAATATATATTATAAAACACTTCTCATTGAACAGATGCTTTTATACACAACATTACAACACATTCTCTGTCTGATCGTGACCCTTGACCTTTGTGCTGATGATGACCCTGACACATGCTGAGATGTCAATCAGAAGTAACTTCAGTCTCAGTCTCTACATGATGTCTACCAGGGGCGTCGCAACCGTGGGGGATGTGGGTGTTTTAACACCCACACTTTTCTCGGTGAGAGTGTTCAACACCCGCACTTTTTCTGCCGTTTTTCCGCAGTTTTAAGGCCTGTTCACACCGGGACGAATTTCGCGCGCGTTATTCGTCGACGTTTAACGCCTCGTGACTAAACAATGGGCGCCAATGTGAGTTCACACCGACGCGAAAAACGCCACGCGTAAAAGCGTCATTTTTAAAAAACGACTCGGGTTCGTTTTTTTGGTTTGATGCGCCGCGTTCAAAACCTATCCGACCAACGAGATTGGCGGGTTTGCTCACGTGTCTGGTACTTCTGAAGTTACAGTAAAACACAATTTGAGGGCGCTCAAACACAAAACGGTCTTGAGCACACATACGGCGAAGAAGAGATAAGATACCTATGGGCAAGATGAATGTTGAGCTGCTGGTCTCGGAGCATAAAGAGCTATATGATAATATTTATATTAGTATTTCTGTAATAATAGTATAGTATAGGGTGACCAACAGTCCTGTTTTCCCGGGACATGTGTAAAACGGTCACTTTGTGCTTTATAGAAATCTGAGTTGAGATGAGAACTGCGCATAGTGTGTGTAGTGTCAGTTAGATTTTGACAAGTGAGGAGAGGAGAACCGCTCTGCCGACTCTTTGTATTCTTTCTTTTATTTTATTTTTCTATTGTGACCAGATGCTTGTTTGTTTGTTTTCTCTCGCTCGATCCCCGTGTATGAGGAGGACGAGTGTGACGTTTGAGTGGTTTTATTAAACGTGGAGAAATACGACAACTCTCGTCTCTCGTGCATCTGTTCATCCGACAACTGCTATGTTTTTATCTCTGGGCAACATCTCAACTTTGCGTTACACATGTCCTGTTTCCACGTCCTGTCCTGACTGTTTTTAAGTGATGAAAATGTCCTGGTTTTCAAACAAAAACTGCTGGGAAAGATCAGTTCTACAGCAAAATATAGATGGGCAAAAAAGGTGGACGAGGAAGAAAAACAAGATAAAGAGGATGAAAACTAAAGATATAAATAGATTTTGTTAGTTCGTTTTTGTAAGTTTGTGAGAGCTATTTTTTGTTACATTTGGAGGCATTTCTTTTAGTTATTTATTATTTATATATTTATTTTTCTAATACAGAAGACATTATTTCTATCATTATTTCATTCGTTTTTTTTTCTATCTGTCATAATAAAACATTGAGACATGAATATGATCACCCTAGTATAGTATTCTATTATTATTTCTGTTTTAGATTAAGCGCCATCTAATGTCAGGGAATTAATTTGCATGTTCATTCGGCTTATCGTCAGCGAAAAACGCTTGGGTGTGAACACAGAAAACGCGTTAAAAAACGCTGACGAATAAAGGCCCGTACACACCGGGGGGGGGGGGGGGGGGGGTATTGCACAAAAGCAAGATAAGGGATTAAGCTGATTTTCCAGTTATCCTGGCTGAATTTAGCCCTGACTCGGTTGCACGAATGGAGGCTAAATTAATCTACATTAATGGAGATTTACACTTTGCAGCTAGCCTGCTCTAGAGCAGGCTAACAACCAGGCTAAGATTAATCCTAGTGATTTATCGACTAGTTCCTCCCTAAATCCTACTAGATATTAATGTTTTAGTTACTTTATGCTCCTGCATTAAAATACTAGATATACTGCCATTCATCTAAGAATGCGTACTGCTATTTTAGTTATTATTAAAAACTGATGTTCATTTCACTGTCAGAGGTTTGATGAATATATTATTTGAGATTCAAAGCGTTTATTGGCATACACTTGCAGTGAGGAAAGCAGATTTTCCTGAGCAATTATAACTTTGCTGTCCACAATAAATGCCAACACAATGCAAAACAACTATACTATACAACATGAGAAATAGAATATAGACTATGTATATCTATGCAAATATAGAGTAGAAATGTATAGTTGAATGAGAAAAAAAATTAGAGGCTATTTTATTGCAGTTGATGAGATAATAAGAAATGGCTCATTAAGTCGTAAATGTGGTTTCATGTAATAACAAGGTCAATATATAGTATACAGTATATAGACTAAAGATTTGTTTTTCCTATTCACAATGGCTTGCCCTTTGTTGGATGATGTAGTTGATGAGGAAGTTTTAATACTCAGACGAGCATTCAGCCATGAAAGAGTCATCCGAGATAGGGCAGACCCATTGGAATCACTGGCTTCCCTTTATAGGCCTGTGGTGCTGTGCTGTGGTGAAGTCTTGGGTTGGAGGGCCACCCCCGTACCAGATATATGACTCTTTTTATTGCTAAAATCAGCACAGACGATTAAATGTCAGCAAACATGTCACCATGTTCTCTGCAGACAAGTCACTTACCAGCCTGCAAAATATTCTTGTATTTAATCTAGACTTTCTGCCAAGTCCTTTTTTTGGCCAGACATGTTTGTTCTTTAGGAGGAATAGATACAAATGATAAAATAGTTTAAATGGATAAAAATAGTGCAAAATATCTGATTATAGATTACATTAAACCAATTAGAAACAAAACCTACATAGAAATAGATAAGAGTAAAAAGATTAAAGAGATAATAGACATAAAATAAACTAAATATATAAAATATACACATAGTAGGTAAGTGTTTGCAATTATTCTTCATGTTAAATGTATGTCCACTGGTCACATTTAAGGCAAAATATACAATTATTTTGTTAAATGACAAGTAACTCCTCGAATTGTAATTATGAGGGTTACAATGGAGCACTGCACACTCAAATGCTGGGTTGTTTTAACCCAACTTTGGGTCAAATATGGACAAACCCAGCTGTTGGGTTAAATTTATTAATTGCATTTTTAAATCCAACATTTGGGTTTGTCCATATTTGACCCAAAATTGGCTTAAAACAACCCAGCATTTTTTTAGAGTGTGGTTATTTATGGACTTAGCATTCAATCGGTCTGCTATAGTTTGCCAGGCATTCTCTCTTTGTTTTATTACAGCATCTGTATTGGCTTTTTTACATATTATATGTTTCACTTCTTCATACGTTTCCATAAGAAGCTGTTGCTCATTAGGTGAAAAGTATGCCGCACGCGTTTTGTCCATTTTTGGATCGGTGATTCTGTGATCGATTTCGCGCTCTTTTTAAGAATGCCCTGAACGTGCATTTATCCAACACTGTAAAACATTTCTTGTCAAATTAACAGTAACTTACTGGCAACAATTATCCAGTACTTGCTGTATTTCATTTAACAGTAAAATTACCGTAACACTAACTACAGTACTGTTAAGCATACTGCAAATTAAATAACATTATTTTACTGTAATTTCTTACCATATTAAAGTACAGAATTACACTGTTAATTTTTAATAATACTGTATAGTATGTAATGTTATTGTATTTATTTTATAGTGCTACTGTGTAACCTGTAGAAAATCCGTAGAAATATTATTTTAACTGTTAATGGGAAATAGAAAAAAGAACAATTGAAGCTTTAACTGCACAAGGTTTATTGTGTATTTTCAAACACATTAGTACATTTACATAATATACATTTAAATACATTAATACAATTAAATACATTAATAATAAAAATGTAATATAATACAATAAAAATCATGCATGACAATCATGAACAATTATGCATAAATACATGCAAAAATTATCATGAAGAGGTAAAATAGAAAAGATTAAAGGGGTGCTATCTGATCAATCTATTAGAAAGATAGTTCATAACAACTCATCCACCCACTCCCTGCTGGGGTAAAACAGCTTAAACTAGTCTAAGATTGTCTATTGGTTTGAGATAGACTGTATAACTGGTCAGTTGCTGATTTTAAAGGGATTTTGGCTGCTTTCTATCTAAGGGACCAGATTTGCAGGGCTGGGAGACACATATAAACTAGCTTTGACAAGTAAACCACCAATCCAGATGAGTATTACAAAATGACAAGTTATCCAGTGTCCTTTAAAAAAAAAAACTAAACACAAAACAACCTCATCATGCACATGTGCCATGAAAAACTTGCATTACGGTATTAATAATCATTTATATGCAGACTTATGTTCTAACTTTTGCAATAGGAAGTTTTCTATCCAAGCTTTTATGCAATTAAACCTTAAACTGTACAACAACGTTTATTTTCACACAACAATTCTTAACAACTTGCAGATAGACAAAATTCACAGATGGATAATAATCTGTTTAAAACGTTCTCAGTGGGTCAGTACTGGACCAAGGTATAGTAGTAGTAGTTAGATAAATAGAATAATTAAATTAGATTAGATTTACAATTCATCGGTCGTCAAGATGGATAGGGGTCTTCTTAACATGCACAGCTCACACCTGTGGAAAAGGAGAACAGACAAGACAGTTAAAATATAGTACGTTTTTGTTGTTGTTTTGGCTAAACAGCAAAAACAGACAAAATGATGTCTAAAGTGTAATTCACTTAATACTAGAATCTTGTTTGTTGGACTGTTGTTTAAAATCAATTGTTAAAGTATGTTCATTATGTCCTCAGTTGTATGCTGTGTAATATAATGCAATGCTATACTGTTCAGTGTTGTGCATATGTTTATGCCACAAGAGGGCACTAAAGTATAGGCTATGGAGGATGCGTTTGTATTATTATGTTTGTCCAAGTTGATTTACCGTAGTTAAGAGGATCATATTACTGAGAGAATCTTCATTACTCTCTGTGCTGTTCGACCGTGAGACTGATGTGTCAACAGCTGAAATAATTATGCCAAGAACGGCTAAAGATAACTCATCTCTATCGTCC